TTTTTTGCAGACCTGTGTGCAAGGCAACCAAAATGTCCACTGCATCTGCTAATTGGTGATATACTAAATTGACATTTAAAAGCATTAAATCATTCATCAAAAGCTATGGGGATGGTACTACTGTCATCCATTGAAAGATCAGTTAGCTTAGATTTAGAATCTCTTTTCAGAAAAACTGCCAGTTTTAAAAAAATCATTTTAATCATTTAAATCCTTAAATTAAGGAATCTTGATGCATGAGATTCCTTAGGATGCTGACTATCATCAAATCCAGATCTATATGGATGCAGGGAACATATACAGCAGGGGTGTCAAACTTGATTTCACCGAGTGTCGCATCAAGGTTGTGTTTGACCTCAGGGAAGCGGGGTAGGTGGGGCAAGGGTAGGCGAGGCCAGTTTGATGTCACTCGTGTCAGGGGCACTTGTGGTGGCATGAGCGCTCTGCCAGTGAAAACAGGCTCCTGAGTTCCATTTTCAGCTGCAACGGCCTCCTGCAGCCCTCTGTCAGCAAAACCAGAGCTTGGGAGGGCCACACGTGACCCTCCCCAGCTCCGTTATCGCTGGCAGAGGCACCAGTTCTTCACTGTTTCCAGGGCAGCCCTGTGGGCCAGATCTAAGCATCCCATGGGCTGGATCCAGCCCGTGGGCCTTGAGTTTGACACCCCTGATATACATTCATACCCACCTATTTAGGAACACTTTGCATATACACAGACCAAAATCATATTGTCACTTCCAACTTGTTCGAAGGAGAATCCCAGTATACAAGAGCATAATACACACTCCAAATTCAACTCCAAATATGCACTCCAAATTCAACTTTGAATTAAGTTCTGCTGAAGTATGGAACTCCTGTAAAAGTACATTTATATTATCCAAATAAATTCTCAGCTCCTTCCAAAATTCAGGCAGTTGTTTTAATCTAAATACTCTTCAGAATATAGCTCAGACACCAATTTGTTAGATCTGTCAACAGTATAGAGCTGTGTTAATTGGCTCAAGTAATCTTGCTGGTAAATATACTTTTAAAACTCAAAAGTTCTTCCATCTTGAATGCAAATCTTCACCTTAGCCTTTGATTTTGTTTTCTTGGACAAATATCATGATCCACAGTGAATACAGTGCAGTGGTGTGGGTTATGACCGGTACGGGCATACCAGTACCTACTGGGAGCACCAAGTACTGTTCCGGTACGGTGCTCCGGAGGGTCCACTTTCTCACTCTCCTTACTGGTATTTGAAGTTTTCAGGGCTTCTGCGCCCGTGTGTGCACGGAGCGTACGGTGCCTGCGTGACGCTCCGCTGAGCAGCTGGAGCGGTGTGGAGTGTTGCAGGTGGTAAGTATGCATGCGCGCGCTGTGAGTGTTCATGTGGTGGACACCTGGCCCTGTTGCACCGTACCGGTTGCACCATGATCCAGAACCCATCACTGATACAGTGGGACTTACTTTGACAATCAAGGAATTGGTGGGAACCTAGGTACTCTGGAAATCTCATTTCCATAATTCTGGCACTCAGACTATTATGACATTCCAATATCACAGCTGTAAATATGGTGGGATGAATATCTGAGTCAAAGAACATATTGGACATTGAGATGTGTATATTATCTTAGCCAAATGTTTAACATTGGACTTGGCTGACAGGAAACCACATTTCCATAATCCTGGCACATGAGACGTGCAACCTAATTTCAGCATCCAAGAATTCAGGAGGAAGAGAACTTC